AAAATTCTGGTGTTTCATAATTATATTTTCAAAAGCAAAGGAAAATCTGAAGCCATTTTCTGAGTATACAGTGCAAACGTTTAACAGTTAATCTTACAGGTTTGTGAACAGATGCAATTATATAGACTAAAAACATGCAATTGTAATTATGGAAAAATATACACAGAAACTTCTAATACAAACTGCAAAAAGACAAATAAAAAACCTTTAAACAGTATAGTATCATATGAAAACATTTTTGCATTAAATAAACATAATTCAGATTTTTAAGTGTATGAGCAGGTTGGAAAACAAATGATTTATATTTACACATGTACAATGGGTTATAGAGTAAAATGGTTATAAATCAGCATGTTCAACAGTATATCTATGAGAAAATTTATTCACAATAATTGGAAATGTCAACTACTTTTGTGAGCTGTAACTGAACTGGTGAACCTCCCCCACAGCCTTTGATGTTTTGCTCTATCCTGTAGCACTACATAGAAAGTCTCCCAAGTCTAAGCAATTTTAGATTTAGGGACACAGTTAATGTTCTCCATTTGTTTTTCTCCACTTTTGTACCTGATACCAAAAGCCTTGACTGTAGGCTGGCAAAGAACATACCATATGGAAGTTGCTCACCTCTGCATTGTGTACAATTACCAGTAATGATACAAGAGCAAGTGGACCCAACACCAGAAAGATCATCTTTCAAACCAAGTTGAATTCTATTTTACACTGCTCTGACGGTTCCCACCCACCAGGAGATACATATGGCAGGTAGGAAGAAAGACTTTTCTAACTCACACATCAGTTAACACTGCTGCTGAGAAGGTCCATGCTATTCAGTAAAGACAAAGCAGTGTTTTCAGTGCCATACATAAGGATCTAACTCATAGCAATAAGAGAGCCAAAGCTATATTTTATACAGAAAAACATCAGTAATGTACTGCAAAAATGTAAAACTAATCATAAAAAGATGCAATGATTGTAAACATTAAAATATTGGCCTACTTAGCAACAGCCACTAATAAAAATTAAAAATAAAATTTCACTACAAACTATATACTTAAGCATATTTCTACAAGTATTTCAGGCAGTCTTTAATTCCAGCACTCTGGAGGCAGGGGCAGGCAGGTGGCTTTGAAGCTAGCCTGGTCTACATGGTAAGTTCCAGGATACCGAAGGCCACACAGGTAAACCCTGTCTCAAAAAAAAACTAAAGAACTCAATAGCAACCAGAAAGTGTTATCCTAAAAAAACAAATTAACCATAACAGCTTGAACAAAAATGATAATTTTTTTGTGTGAATCCTTTCTAATTGTATTTTCCTAAGCATTTAAAAGCTCAACAGACAAGAGATTTATAGAGAAGTATTAAATATTCTAGAATATTATCTAGGAGAAATGAAATCTTTGGCTTGATTTATAAAATGCATTATGAAAGAACTGGCAATTCATTCCATAATCCCATAGACAAACAGCATCAACATTGTAGGGAACTCTCAAGAAATGCAGAGTATGGGGCTGGAGAGACAGCTCAGTTGTTAAGAGCATTGTTTGTTCTTGAACAAGTCCTCAGTTCAATTCCCAGCAACCACATGGTGACTTACAACCAAATACACTGGGATCTGGTATCCTCTTCTGGCCTGCATGTGTACATGCAGATAGTACGTACACTCATTCATAAAATTTAAAAGAAGAAGGAAGAAGGAAGGAAAAAAGAAGGAAGGAGGAATGAGGAAGAAGAGCAGTAGCAGCAGCAACAACAACAAATGCAGAGGATAAGGACTTACTCTGAGTCTGTATTTTAACTTGACCCCTAAGGATTCATGTACATCTGTATATACACAAACTGAGAAACATTGTCATAGACTGTTAGTAACTGGATAAAAGAATCCTTTAGTGTTGTTTTGTTATCAGCAACATGAAATGGCTCTAACCTGTAAAACCTGTTTTCCAGTCTTTCTTTAATTGTACTTAGATCCGTTGGATATGCCACCACAGTGCAATACATGGGATACGCTTGCAGATCCACAGGGGCCACAAATGCTGAAGCAATATCTAAAATAAATAAGGTTATAAGTCTATTTTTCTTTTATTTAAAAATTCACTGGTACATTAGGGTGAAGAAACAACAAATAAATATACTATGAATACAACAAAAAACTACAACATAAGATCACTGTTTTAAAAACAACTTTAAACCTAAAATACTGATAAATATAGCATTTATAATTTCCATTTTATTAGAATTTGGGACTGGGTATACAGCTCAGTGGTAGAGCATTTGCCATGTTCAAGGCCTTCAATATGATCCTCAGCACCGTAAAAGAATATAGAACAATAATCCCAGTGTCTTCAGTTCTTAACTCTTTAGTTTTTGAGTATTACCCTATATCCTTTGAAGTTAATTCTGGACTGCTTATATTCATTGTTTAAATACCACAACAATCTCCAGTTACCTTGAAAGCCCAGAGTTCAGATAAGCAAGATTCATGGTCACTATTTGCTTTCATTTTCACAAATCAGGAATAGCAGTTCATATTCCATGTTCTTTCCCTTTGTAAAGACTTGTGTATGGGTCAAGTCAGGAAAAAAGAAAAAGCAGAGCTTTCCAAAGAATTAAATTAAACTTTTGTCTACTTCCCCCTTCCGATTCATATCATGTCAGTTGACTGTGTCAAGGCTTTATAAACTAGGTTGGAGAAGAGCCAGGTTTTAAATTCCTGTTGCATTTATGACAGATTCCCGAAATTTGGCTACAGAAAGATCATAGACAGATTTTTCTATACTAAAGTGTTATTATTTACCTAGTGTCATCAGCTGATTTATTCCTCCAACAATTCTATCGCATTCTTCATCCCTGGGATTGGCTCCCCATTCTCCATCAAGAGGTTTATAAATTAGTGACCTAGATTCAGGATCAGTTAAAGGAACACTGGTACCCAGTTCTTCTGGAAACACAGCTGAAATCCAAGTAGAGACATTAATGAACATACTTAGGTTTCCACTGATGAAAACTTCAAGAATATATTAATCAAAATCTCAAACCTTCAAAGAAAATTAAAAATTCTGCGAGATAAGTCCTAGGCCTTCCCTCTCTGAAGCCAGCTTCTCACATGTCTAACTCTGTAATACTGTGTCTAAAAGATTTCAAGTGTTGAGGCAGCATCTACATATGTACCATGTAATATTATTTCCTTTGAACTAGTCTATAACAGAAACCAAACAGCGTATGTAATCAAGATAACTGTGTGTATAGATATGTATACCCAAATAGAACAAAATACTTCATTAGAACCATCAACGGACACACAAAGATATATTAACTCTTTAAAAAGAAATAGCCGCAGTACTTTAAAGCCAATTGCATTTCTTTATTAGGCCAATTATAAGCTTACAACAATGGAATCATTTCAAATTTAAAAATAAGATTTAAACTAACAAAGACAGACAAAACGAGAAGCCATGTGACATGTTACGAGTTGATAGTGACATTTCCTATTTTTCAGTGTTTCTACTTCAGCAGTGAATGAGAATGCTTATCACTGTGATTAAATGAACTAATTTCAGACCAACATTACCAACAAGAATATTTTTTCATTTCTAAGGTTTCTGGGCTGAGTTCACTTCCCACTAAATATTCACAATAACCATATGTGACAGCAAGCGCGAAGATCAAGATTTCTTTTTAAATTTATATATTTATTTATTTTATGTGTGTGGGTGTTTTGCCTGAATGTATCTATGTATATGCCTATGTATACGTACCAAGTATATGTCTGGTGTCTACAGATCAGAACAGAGGGTCTGATTTCCTGGCTGTGAGTTGCTTTATGGGAGCTGGGACTCAAACCTGAGTGCACTAGAAGAGAAGCCAGTGCTTTAACTGTTGAACCACCTTCTCCAGTTCCCTTGTTTTGGATTTCTTTTGAGACAGAGTTTAACTATGTAGCCCTAACTAGTCAGCAAGTTACTATGTAGATGAGTCTGGCCTTGAACGTGAAGCATCTCTCTAGTAATTTTTTACAGTACACTAATTACTCAAAAATCCCACTTGTAAAGGTTTATTTCTAGTACGCTAAATGAGGTATTTTTGGTTTTTTTAAAATCTTTATCGGATGATACAAGTACATACACTTAAAAACCCAAATACTCATTTATAATCTACAATGTAACACTTGCAACTCCTTTAAGCATGGACAAATATGTCCTACTTTAACAAACTTGAAACAAAAACTGATAATCAAGGAGAAAAGGTAATCACTATGCTTCTGCCAAATTTACTCTTTTCCAGAATAAGAAACAGGCTATAATTGACTTACCCAGGGCTAATTCCAGAATCCCAAGTTTCCTAGGCTATATGTAAGGTGATGGTTAACTGTTTAATTGGAACTGCCCCTAGCCATTGAGCACTCAAGATGTGTCATAGATAATGGAATGTAATTCTGAAAGAATTCTGAAATATGAGTCCTAAGATCTGGTTTTGAGACTTAGGAACTAACCAATAGCACATACAAACTGACAAGACAAGGTCATATGTTGATATTTCTACTTAAAAGCCTCAGCCCTTAATATTGGCTGATGTAACAAAACTGTCTTTGGACCCCCATAACAATCAGTTTAATTCCTTTTAAGCTACAAGTTCCAGATAGTCAAGGATTGTCAACATATTCACTACTAAACCTTGTATAATTTTATACTCAATAATAGGTTTACAATAATACTTTTGTTAAATATTTTCTATTTGCTAGTCAAAATTACCTTAAATGGTACCTTTTTTTTTCTTTTTGAGTCATTTTTACCCTGTAGTCCTAACTTATGTAACTTACTGCCTTTGCCTCTTGAATGCTGAATTCACCTCTAGCAGTAAACCATTGTTTTATTAAAAGAAAATAACTCCAAGGATGAAAGGATGGCTCAGAGGGCAAAGGTCCCTCCCACAAAACCTAATGGCCCAATCTCTGGGACCCAAGGAAGAAAGGAATCCTGCAAACTGTCCTGACTTCCAGAAATGTGCCACACCTATATGTGTGTGAATGTGTACACACCACACACACACACACACACACAATGTGAAACAAACCCCAAGTAATTCCACAAGGACATAGTCATAGTGGGCCTACCATAGACTCACCATTATTAGGTATTAGTTCCATATCCCAAGGACTCATCTTTTCTGTATCTCCATTGTCCCAGCTTTAAGAAAGCAAAAATATTCCATAAAAAAAAAATAAATCTGAAAATCATAATACAACCTTTATGAAAAGCACATTAAACAAATAACTGCTACAGTATTAAAAGAGTATTCTTAGCCCTTTACTGAAAGATGGGAAAAAATTCAAACCTTGACCTAATTGAAAATATAACCAATATTTCCTTACCAAACATTATAGCACTGAAACAAACTATCAGGGTACTCAGGTTGAAGAGGCTCCTGGCTTTCAATTGTTCCAAACCACCAGGCATCATCTATGACTGATCTGAAGCGGTCACCTGAAAAAGAACAAAAGCCGCCTGTCCCATCATACTGGCACAAAATGTTGCATTTTCTTAATATATAATTCTCTTTAAGGTTTTAAACTGGATGATTTCACAAGACATATTTCAAAAATAAGTCAGGAAAATAAGCACACATACCTAAAAATATGACTTACATTATTTCTTAGATTTCAGCAGTAGTAAAACTTTTCTTTTTGTCTTAATCATAATTGCAAATACAGCATTTAAAAGTCACCATTAAGATTATGCCCAAACTTCTCATATGAATGCTTTGATTACTTCTGGCTAAATATATTCTTAAAATTTTTTTACTTCCTATTATTTTCCCAAAATACTAAAGCTTTAGATTAAAAGCAAACCCATAAAAAATTCAGCATGCTCTTCTTCACCTCTATCATCCTTACCCTGTACTACATATTCATGTTCCCTTTCCTTTCTACGGAGCAACAACTTTAAAAAAAAGAACAAACAAACAAACAAACAAAAAACCAAAAGTAAAACCTGTCAATCTTTGTAGAATAAGAAAGCATGCCTTTTGTCTATTTCTACATAAGGATTGGACATTATGGATGTAATTCGGAGCTAATAATTTTCATTACTGTTTCATAATTGTTATTATTGAAGAAAAAGAGCCTTTTATTGGACTAAAAGGGGGACCTGTAAAGAGAATAGCTTGTGTATTGTATAGATGTTAACACCTGTCAATTAAAAAAACCTATGGTCTGCAGGAAAAGGTAGAATAGAAGGGGGAATATTCAGTAGGCAGAAACGATGCTGAAACAACCAGGCATGGGAGATTAACCTAGGGAAGATGTGACAACAGACGCATGGTACCTGAGCCGAGGTAACCAGCCTTGTGGGAGAATGTCTATTAGTATAAATGGGGTTATTTTAACTTACAAGCTAATCAAAGAAAAGCCTAGCTATATGGCAGAAAGTCATTTTATGTTCTACAAAAAGTTATTTAGAAGTTTATGTAGACATGCACAAAATTATATAAATGCATTAAAATAAGACAGTATCTATCAAATTAGAACTCTTTTAAAATTACAAAAGAAAATATTTGTAAACTATTACTGATTTTGACTGGTTATACAGCTGGATCAAACTTTAGATTCAAGCATGATTTACTATTAAGTCTGTCATTGTTCTTCAGATACACATGTTGGTGATAGTCAACTTAGAAAAAAGCTATATTATAGAACTTAGTACTAACATCATTCTTCAACCCTACTACATTACTAAAATATGAACTTAATAGACTAATTTCTTAGGACTCTCCCAAGACAAGCTTTGCTACATTAAGAGTCACATACTGTGTATTCATCTAATCACAACAGACAGTCCTGTTAGGTAAAGAAAGAGTACTAGCCATAGTCAACCATAAAATATTCACGGTGATCTGATAGATGGACACTTGTTATGGCGAAAATAAAAGACCAACTACATACTGAGCATGACAGATATAATAATGTACTAATATAGCAAACTTGAAAGACCTAAAAGATGTTCTGATGCTTATTTATTCATTCAAAACATCTGATTTACCTACCAGTTTGCCACACAATATTATTTTATGTCAATACAGCTATAAAATAAATGTATGCTGCACTGCTGCTAGGTTGGTTTTATCTTGACTGTAGTTTGCTACTAAATAAGATTACAATTGTTTCTTGCAATTAATTTTCCTCAAATAATTTTAACTGCTTAATTTTCATATTAATTTTTTCATGCATTTCAAGAAGCACTATTCAATATACTTTCTATACTGTTATTTTATCATGTTTATATAACTCTTTGTTCTTCTGAAGACTTCCTCCTTGGTGGTAATGTCTCTGGACTCTATTTTCTTTCTACTTTTCCAATGCTGGTCATATTTCATACGAGGAAGTCATAGTTTTCTTTTCTTTTACTTCTTTCCCCTCTGTTTGTAACATTTTTAAGTTACTCTTTGAGGTAAGGAACCAAAATACTCACTTTCATTATGGCACTATAATACATGTGTACGTATTCATGCGCCTGTCTGCTTCCTTCTTAAAACTAAGTTTTGCCAAAATCAATCAAGAAAAACAACATGGCAGTGTCTTCTAAAAGCACTGGAAAAAATAGGTCAATATACCAACTGGTGCAAAGTGTTAGGTCACTCCACTTACATATCTACTACAGTTCCTCTAAGAGAGCCCACAGTAGATTTATGTAAATTAACAACTATTCAATAAATACATGTCCATTTGTATAATTTAAGATAGCTTAAAAGCATAGCAAACTATGATTTTATAATTTCAGGCAGTTGCGAATAACAAAATCATTTTAATGTTAGCCCAAGTTCAAAACTCAAGCTCATGAGGTTTTATCTTTTGTCCTCAAACATTATTTCTATTATTAATATTACTGGGTTAATATTAATATAACACATAAAATAGCTAAAAGAAATAATCTTGTAACGGCTAATCAAACAGAACAGAAAATGTTTTGAAATTTAAACATCAACTAGATTAAAAAAACTTTCATTCTCAAAACCTTAAAATGGCATATCTTTACTACAGGCATACTTACAAAAAAGCTTCTGTAATTATGAAGCATAGTAAATCATTTATAAAGAAAAGGGTAAGATATACAGAACACCTATGCTTTCAAAATCAACAATTACCCACCTATATTCCACCGTCTATATTTTGCATCATCAAATTGTTGTCTCAAGACTAGAAAATCTATGACGTCAGGCATATCATGGTATCTATTACAAAGAGAAAAAAACAGATGGATTAGGTCACATATATACTCATACCTACGATACGTTCAAATTTATTTACATCTTGAAAAATAGTCTAACACTATTAAAGCACTGCCTTGGTATCAGTCCTTACTTCATGGTAAATGATCCACCGGTCAGTTTACCAGTATCAGGATCTAGAAAAGCAAGTTTAAGGCAGCAAAGGGTAGGCAATCCCACTTCATACTTTATACCAACGATCTTCATCAGTTCTTGTTCCTACAATATGAAAAACAACAATAAAAAAAATTATCTCTGGAGAGTAAAGTATGTGCTTGTGCGGACCAGAGATGGATGCCTGGGGTCTTTTCTTAATCACAGTCTGTTTTATTTACTGACACAAGAACCTCTTACTGCACCTGTAACATGCCAGTTTGGCTATTCTGACCAGTTTGTCCAACTTGCAGTCATGCCCCCCAGGGACTGAAGTTAAGAGTACGGAAAGGCACAAATGACAGGCACCCTCCCTACATTACAGGAGTACTGAGGAGCTCACCTCTGGTACTTATTCTTTCACGGAAGCACATTGGCCACATGGCCGCATGAACATTCCCAGCTCCAGTTCCTTACATTCAAAGTGTAAACACCACACAACTACTTTCAAAATTCAAAACTTATCTTTTACAACAAGAAATTTTGCCAATATCATACCCTTAATTCCATTTTATGCCATGGCTGTTTTTTAGGATTGATACTATAAATTCTATTTTTCCGGGCCATTTCAACATATGCTTCATGTCCTTGTCGGAAATAATAGACCTAAAATAAATAAATAAGATCAAAACTAAGGGTGTAAGACAACACTTACATCAAAATTACATTGAAATCTAATTTAGATATGACATAGAAATTCTAATACTGAAAAATTCAAACATTATTCAAGTTCTCTTAAAGCCACTTAATCAAAACTGAAGTGCTCTAATTAAAAACTTTGCATACATAGTCCTAAAATTAAATGTGCAGCAGTTTTGATTTTACTTTATTATTTTATTTTTGGATAACATCTATATGGTATAAGAAAGTCATTTATAACCAGGGTTTTTAAGTTTATAGTCACATTCTTTTGTTTTTACTTTATAAAATCACATGATTATACATATATAGAAAACTTTGAAACCAGATATGTATTTTCATACATATATTCTATCTAGTTCAATTTGTAAATCTTAAGTACACATGCATGAGTGTGCATCTCTATTTTAAGACGAAACTTAAGTGACTCCTAGCACATGTCCTGAAGAGCATGTATTTAAATAATCTTCTACTACATCTGATTCTCATCATTAAAAACAGAAATACTTGTTTAATTTGTTTTACTTGGATGCAGTGTGTGCACCATGTGCAAGCCTAGTGCCTGCAGAGGTCAAAAAAGGCATCAGATTCCTTGAGAATGGAGTTAAAATCATCATGAGCTGCCATGTGAGTGCTGAAAATTGAACCTGGATTCTCTGCAAGAGTAAACAATTATTTTAAACTGCTGAGCCCACAATCCAGCCCCAAAATTATTTCGAAATGTGTCAAAATGATCAATAATATTTTAACCTATATATTTTCATACAATGTATCACTGTTCCTGTTGCTTGACATTCATTGGAAGTAAGCAGTGCAAGACCCTGAGATCAAGATTCAGATGGCATGAAGGTTCAAACTACAGCATCTGAAAAGTCAATCTGCATAGAACTAAACATATTTGACCATTTTGAAATTACCGCCATATCATTTTAATGCTAAGACTCTGTAAATAACTGCAAAGGTATGTTCTAAGCTACTGAAGTTTCTGAGGGAAGAAGGGTCTTTAAATAAATAAATCATTCCAGATTGTTCTTTAGACTCGCTCTTCATTTATTTCCATTTTCAAATTGTTAGTTCCTACTTTATAATAATAACATTAATTACTGTGCTTTGAAAAACGAAGCCTCTAAAGTATTTTTATCATCACACTGTTCGATACTAGTTAACACCTCTTAAATTTGTATATAAAGGAAATATGGTCCAGAGAAATTCTAATATAAAGTCTTAAATTAATCCCAAACTCAAAGAGTTTTCTTACTTTAAGATCATAGACTTTTAAGGACAGGTAAGTTAAGAATATTAGTAAATATAACTTCTTGATATAAAATTAAAATGGAAACAAAGTGCTAAATCTTTTCTTTTCATGTTATACATTTAATAAATAATAATAAATATAATAAAATAACAAATATGATATAATATAAATAAAATATAATAAAAATAATAAATCCATTTTTAGTTATAAATAGAAAAGAATGTGGATGGGGGAAATCTCAAGACTCTACCCACAGATGAAGAGCTACAGGCAATTAATGGCTTCTTAAGGAAGAAAAACCACTACCACTACTGTACAGGGCTAATCCCTTGGTGGTCAGCCCTAAACAAATACACATACATATTAAACAGTAAATGGACCCAGCAGGCTGCATTTATGTAGAGATATTTGTGTGTACATACATACATACATATCACACACATGCATATACACATAAAAATAATTAAAGAAAAAGGCCAAAAAGTTGAGGAGGGTGAGACAGGGGAGCTGGGGAAGGGGAAGAAATGTTATGAATGAATATAGTATTAGTATATGAACATCTTAAAAACCACAATCCAAAACCACCAAACTTATAATATTAGTAAGTAACAATTAACAATAGCAATTAAATCCTTTTGTTAAAAAATGGCAGTTTTACCACAGTGGTGGTGGCACGTGCTTTAATCCTAGCCCTCTGGAGGCAGAGGCAGGCAGATCTTTCTGAGTTTGAGGACAGCCTGGTCTAGAGAATAAATTTCAGGACAGCTAAGGCTACACAGCGAAACCCTTCCTTGAAAAACCAGGCTCCAACTTGCACCCAAAGGGCAGTCTTAAGCATGGCAACAAAAATTTCCGTTCTTTCATAAAATTTAAAATTATCACATATTTATAGTTGTCCTGATGTATATTATTACTAGATCTTTGGTTGTACCTTTTGATACTGTTTTTGATAGATATTTAGAATGATACACGTTTTAAGGAACTTGCTACAATCTTCTATGTTTCAAGAACTATAAAAGATATTGAGGTTACTTCTTGAAAGAAACTTTTTAAAATTTGAAAGTTTAAAAGTACCTCATCACCCATCTGTGGCACAAATGGACATCTTCTGGGAATTGTATCTGTAATCCATGTTGAAGGCAACCATTCTTCTAATGTAAGACCATTTTCAGTTAGTTCTCCTACAGCCAATCTCTGAGAAAGTGTGAACAGCATTAGGAGAGTCTTAAAATACAAGGAAATAGCTTTTTACAAATATTCTATTCTCCAGTACTAAGACCTAATTCTAGAAACGGAGCAACAGTTATACAACTTCTCCAAGTCATCGATAGAGAGCTAGACAAAAACAAATCGTGTAGTCTTCACAAAACTCTCTAAGAACAAACTTACAGATGCAAACTATAAACTCTTGTGGTTTCTGCTCCTTTCCAAAGTTATCTTATAAACAGTACATATAGCAAATTAAATTATGCTCAATGTTTTAAAATTCTAGCCTTAGTGTGATAGTAGTTAAGATTATATCCTATAAATAGGTAGGACCGAGGACCCAAAGAGCTAATTGTTTCATGACAGCTGTAAGTTGGACATTACACTTCTAAATAAACTAAGAATAATCTCATTCATATTTATACACTCAAAATTTTTTTCCTTCACTTTATCTGTCACTCACTATTTCTTTTAGTCATGTAGCCCAGGCTGACTTCAAACTCACTATGTCGTGGAGGCTGATCTTGAATTTTTATTCATCCTTACTGTATCCTTCATAACTGGGATACAGAAGCAGCCTCCCACAGAAAAGTTGTCCTCCCTTTTTCAAAGTAGCCATTTCATCCTTTGACTCACTTATGTATTCCCAAAACAAATGCACAAAATCAACTTTTCTGACTTAGTACTAAACAAACAGGTTTCTTATTTTTTAACTCTCATGGATTAAAGAATAACAGCAAAACAAACCTACGCTCGAGTAAAAGTTTAATTCTATTTGTCACCAACAAGTGATCCGATGATAGCCTTTATATTACCTTACATGCATGGGAAACAGACTTTTAATCCCTCTGATACCTAACATTAAGTAGTGAAGCCTTATACAAGATATTAGAAATGTAAATAAGAATTCTACGCTTTATTTTGCTGGGTTTTTAAGCAAATTAAATCTGAACTAGTCAAAATTAAACACTGCCCTAACCTACAGCTAAACTGCCCTGAATAGGCTTGTGATCAAACAAAAGAAGCAACACCATGACAGTAAAGACATGACAGCACTGACAGGAGATATTCCTAGAATCATTTCACAATATACATTTTTCTCTTCTTGGTGTATCACACATATTTTTTAAATTTATTGCCTTAGGAGTGCATGTTCCTTGAGGAACATGGAAGAACATGGTTACACTGGAAAACTGCAGGCAGAAAAGTTAAAAGCTGACATATTTTGAAAGGATGGCTGAATATACGAAAGAATAGCAAGTGATCTGCAGTCAAAAAGTAACTTACCAAGTGCTTTATTAATCAAGTAATACTGAAAAACAGCCACACATATTTGTTTGTATATCATACATGGCTACTTCCAGGTTATAATGGTAGAATAGCTAGCACCTTCTTTTAGAAAACATGAGTATCTTGAAAGCACTGGAAGCTGTTATTCAAGCTGCTAACACACAGAAGCAACCAGTACTCCTACCCAGCTATGATACCATAAGAACCAATATCTCAAGATACCGCTAAAGGTACAATGGTGATACTCTTATCTTCATAGTAGCCAACATCTGTCATATTGAACTTTAGGTCCACTCAAATAGTAGGACAA